CTTGAGATCAGCTGTGAGCTAGTTTTATCCACCACCACGAGTTTAACTAACCCAATGGTGCTCAAGCTTTTGGTCCTGCAGGTCAGATGAGTGGCCTGTGGTCAGCCCACAGGCCAGATCAAGCCCCACATGCCAGGGCAGAGAGGGCCCTGTGGCTGACCCTTGGCTCCAGGATCAGCCATCACATCAGCTCCGCATACTGGGTTGTACCCTGGCACCCCACACTGCCCCCAAGTGCCAGAATCAGGCCCCACATTGGCCCTGCCCTGCACCATGTACCAGGATCATGCCTTGGAGCCCTGCACTGCTTCCTCCCATCCCCAGGATCAGGCCTTGCATGCCGGGATCAGGTTCTGGGACCTGGTGTCACCCTTGCCTGGCCCGACATGCCAGGATCAGGCCTTGGCAGTCTGAAGTGCCCCTGCCTAGCCCGGTGTGCTGAAATCAGTCCCTGTGTGCCCAATCTAGTGCATAGGCCCTGGGGCTCTCCCACAAGTCCAGAAATTTGGCAAGACGGGACTAGTGGCACCACTCCCTGACTGCCAGATTTTCAGACCTATGGAGAGCCCTGCAGGCTGGATGACATGGTGCCAGGGTTGGATCTGTCTTGTGGGCCAGGGATTGAGCACCCCTGAACTAATCTAAAGGCTTCTGTACGCCAATTACTATTGGCTCCACACAGCCAGGAAGGCAGCAAGGTTACATGCTTTTTTGGAAGGCCACAGGAAGGAATGGTATTAAAGAAGGTATTATGCTGCCTCAGTGCCACCAGCAAATCCCCTACACTGGAGCAATCTTCCTCGGGTTAGTGGTATCAGCTGCGCAACAGAGAGCAGCCCTAACACAAAAGTAATGGGAGCCCTCATCTTGGCCTCACATGTTCAGAATTCAAATCCTATGACCTGTCAATAAGCCATGCAAGCAGGCAAGACACCAATATCTGTATCATCAGCTAGTACGGCTTTATTGACAAGTTAAAGCCACCTGAGGATCTGGTATCCAGCTAATCACTTAATTGCACAGAAGTTACTCTAAACAAATAAGAAGAGTTTGAAATAAATAGTTGTCAAGCAACTGAAAATGGCAAATTAAATCATGGCTCAAAATTCTTGTAGTACCATACTGCATAATGAGTTTTCCTGAAGCTAATTTAAGTAAGGAATCAGTGAAAATAAATTTCAAGTACTACTTAGATTTTATATGCATGCTTTTTTACTAATCCTAACATGACTTAAACTCACCAAATGGTCTTGTGCTCTTGCTAAAAGGTTACTTTTGCCACGCAACTGTACCTAATACATAAGGATTCATGGAAATATTTTTCAGTCATACAAGAATCCCAGTCTAGACCTTAGAAGGATTTTTGTTTGATTGCTTGCTTTTCAGCTAAAAACAAAAACTATGGAGAATAGATAGATATTCTGTATAAGAATAGAAATATCAAAGACATTCTTTCCTGAACAACACAAAAATATATTAAGGTTTGCCTCCAAACATTATTTTTTTCATGAGCAGTTTGGTTGCATGTCTTTACATTACACAAAACCACATTAAAAGAATATTGTAAGGCTGCACAGTCAAGCCAGCTAGAGGAGGTTCAGTGCAGGTGGAATTATTAAGAAGTTTTAGCTGCTAACATCTAAGAAGTCTCTTCTCAACATGTGTGCCTTTCAATTTTTCTAAGATGTATAATGTGGCCAAATTTGGGCAGATTTCCACAAGAATTGCAAAAGTTATTTTCCTGACATAAAGCCATTCATCAGCTAAATTTCATATTCCTGGTCTGAAGCATGGAAGTATAAGAGCTTCTCAAAGAATCTAAATTTTTGATCATGGACAAAACCCTGTATATTTTTCCTAACCTAATTCTTAGAAGTGAACTGTTTTATCTGAAATTAAAACAACCAACAACAAGATCCTTAAGTCAATATCCAACATGAAATATTTCAAATGTATAAGCAACTGAAAACAGGGTTTTATAAGAAGTATTAGGCAACCTTAATAACAGGTGTGCATCCAACTTAAAAAGAAAAACATAAGGCAAAACATATTGAACCTAAATGAAGGACATTCTCAGAATCATTTGTGGTGGGTTTACCGATAATTGCCCGGTGTGTTGGGGCTCAGAGACTCTTCAGTGTGATTGGTGGAGTCCTTCCACCAATTAAGCAATTGCTGAAGAGGAGCTTGCCCTGCCCCTATCCTGAGGCAGAGAAACTGGACCTGGTTGAAGCCTGCACCTTGCTTCAACCTGATTGGTCCATTTGCAATCCAGGGGTAAACCCTGCAATCTGGGGGGGCAGAGCCTCCATGGGTATAAAAGAGCAGCATACCCAGCACGTGGGTGGCTGCATCGAGGGATGGAGAAGAGGATGAGCAAAGAAAAGATAGTGTGAGCTGCCCAGCGGGGCAGAGCCAGTGCCCTGAAGAGCCTGAAGACCCTTTTTTATTGGACGGGAGCAGCCAGTAGCTGTACCCCCAGCCCACCACTAAGGAATGCGGTGTTGGTACAGGCAGCGCTGTACGGAGGGTTCAGGAGGGACCAGGACCCTGCAAGCTGCTTGAGGCAGCTTGGGTCTACAACCCTGGGTGTGCAGCCAGGAACGCTGTGTACAGGTCAGTGCATGGAGCAGGACCCTAGGGGCTGTTCAAGGCAGCTCGGGTCTGCAGCCCCTGGCTCAGGGCCAAGTAATTGGTGCCGACAGGGTGGCATAGAGTGGTCTGGGAGGGATCGGGACCTTGTGAGGCATTCATGACGGCTTGGGTCTGGGCCCCCTGACAAACAGCCAGCCACCCAGTGCAGACAACGCTGCACAGAGGGTCCAGGAGTGGACCGAGCCCCACCCAGTGTTGCACAAGGTGACCCAGGCCTCCAACCCTTAGCAGAAGGCAAACACCCTGGGAGCACAACAGTGCTCCCAGGGTTCCAAATAGGCGAGTGGCCCAGAAGGTGTCAAAGGCCCAGGAGGCTTCTGCCAGCAAGGAGCAACATGCCTGAGGGGCCAAGAACCACTCAATCTGGACCCGGAGTTGTGACTTGCTGGGGAAAAGGATTCCCACAGGGGAGGGGAAATTCCTTCTGGCATGGGTGACTGGTGCCATCTTAGTCAGGGGGGACACATGCTACCCCAGCAACCAGTCAGCGACTGGGGTGGTCCCCCGCATCCAATCTCGCCAACTTGAGGGGATGTCCCCCTGTGGCAAAACTTACCAACCAGTGGGTGACTGCGGCACTCCCAAAAGTGGCTACAGCACTCCTGAAAGTGGCCACAGTGCTCCCAAAAGTGGCCGCTGCGCTTCCAGAAATGGCTGTGGCCTAAATCCGGTGCTCCCACTCCCCAGCTGGCACTAGCAGGGGGGGCACTGGTGCTCCCACCTGCCCCCCCTGCCCATCACCTAAGCAGGGAGTGCGGCCAGTCAGGGGGTGCACCAATGCTCTCAGGGGGTGTACATGCACCCCTGTGCACCCCCTACGCATTGCCACTGCCTCCTAGTTAGTAAGGGGCTCCTGGAGGAGAGATCCCAAGGGGAGAGAGCCCCTTCTGAGTTTATAGGCTTCATTGGGGGTTGCGGAAGGCCCAAGGGGCATTGGGGTTTTCCCCTCCAACTAGTCATTGGAGTGCAGCCAAGGCCTTAGGAACAGCCTGGGCTTTGGGGACTTTTGAACAATCAAGTTTATTTTTGATGTTTATGCGCCTTCTATTTTGTGAGAGAGCACCTCATATTTTGTAACACTGCCTCTTATATATGTTGTGTATTTTTATAATTGTATATTGGTAGTTTAATAGCATGTAGAGTATATAAGTCTTAACTGGGGCTCTGCTGGGACCCCTTCCTTCATACTTACCTGTGCTTATCTGTTTCAGATCAACTGCTTACCCATGTATTGTTCAATGTTTCTTGAGGTGGTGTAATCTTTCAGCCTTCATTTGTGGGATACAACGCTATATGACAATTGTATATTTGTGTATATACATTTCTCAATATCAATTTCTTTAGATTTTAGATATCTTAATAAATCTGTACATAGTTAAGTATTTTTGTCTTGGCCTGACTCTATAGGGAATAGAGGGAACTGGCTTACATTTGCAGGTCCCTCTTGCAGCACTCCTACCTAGTCACCCATCCCTTCTTTTTGGAGAGGGGAGCACATATTTGGGTGCACCCGGGTTATAGATTTTAATTTCTTTTGGACTGACAGCAATACTTTTTAACTCAAAAGGATGTCAACGTTTATGAAGTTTCAAACAGAATATCTCTCAGTATGTTTAAACAAAAATGCAACCTTGAGCTCTAAAAAAAAATGCTTCAAAAACAGAGACTCTAATATGACTAAAATTTGAGCTTGGTTACTTTTAACACCAAACCCACTCAATCTTTCTATAACCATATGGTGTTCCAAGTCACCTCTTTGTTTACAGGCCATGAGCCTGCAAAATATCAAAATGTATCATCCTACCAGGGTAGTACTGGTATATGTTTCAATCTTCTGTGTACTCTCAGAATGAAAGAAGAAAGCAGGGCAGAAGGACATCATGACCTGCATAAATATATTTCCATGAATCAAGAAATGGTTAATAAAGATTAGTAGGATGCATCTCAGTATATCTGACTACAAATAGTGCCAAAACTGATGTCTAATTTTGCTTCCCAAACATGAACATTTCCCTTTAGCAAATCTTTTAAGCTTTAGTCTGAAAAATCCATTTTTAAAGCATGAAAATAGCAGCAATGCAAACTAAAGTTTTCAAGATTTATGCATATCAAAATAAATGTATAACACCAGTCTATTAACCCTCTCTGTATAAGAATGTTATAGTTTGTGTGGCTTGAAAACTGGTTAAGTAGGAAATGATACTTCATATTTTGATAACACCTTTCATATGAAGATCTTAAAGCACTTCATAAAAGTTCAGGAAGCCACAACAAGGGTAAATAAATTGTATACCTATTTTAAAGATAGTGATTTAAAGACAAAAAAAGCTAAGTTCTTTTTCAAAGTAAGCAAGTAAGTCACAGAGCTAGAAGTGGAATTCAGGAGTCATTGCGAGTCCCTTGCTTGCATAAAGTAGTGTCTCAGACAAACAAAAAGGGTATTTCTGCTTGGTCCTGGAAATGTTAGGAAAAGTTTAATGTAGCTTAAACATGTAGACTATTGACAAATAATTCTAAAAGTTTGGCAGCCTCTCCCAGTGTTTCTTAATTTGTTGTTTTGCATAGCCATAAATCATTGCCTTAATCAACTTGCATAACATTTGTCCAAAGAACAAAGCAAGTTATATAATGGTTCCAATGGTCTCCAGCCTGTGTCATCATCACAGTCCCTGTATACAAAAATAAAAAGAACTAGACGATAAACTTTATTTGTGGAGCAGTAGACAAGCCTCTGTAGAGTCTTTGTCTGGCTCTCTAACTTGCTACTTAACTTAGCTAATTACCAACTTCCTTAGTTTCCTTTTTTGTTAGGGAACATTTTTAAATTAAAACTTCTATCACTGCATCTGGGACAAAGTGGTCCAGTTGTTCATGCCAGTTTTCCCAGGATAAATCATAAAGAAGTTTCCCAGATAAGAGGTATGTGACAGGAGTATCACTATGGGAGTCTTTCTAGTGGTGACTTTGCCCTCCCGCTTTGGGCCAGCTGCCTTTCTTGCCTGCCATGCCTTGATCTTAATTGGTTGAGTGATGTAATTAGCTGGAGGCTGCCCACTTTATACGCCCCGGTGCCAGGGGGCGCTATCTGCGGCTCCTTTTCCTCCCCTACACCGCAGCCCAAGCCTCGCAGATGGTGCCGACAGGATTTCTGACCTGAGCCTTGTTGTGATTTGGCCCTCTCCTTTACTTCACTGGGGTTCCTCACTGCTCCCCTCTCACTTGGGGCTCTGCACTGCCCCCCTTCACTCAGGGACTCTGTGCTGCCCCCCTTCACTCTGGGCTGGGGCCAAATGCATCCCCAAGATGCTGCACCCTCTCTGGCATCAGGACCCCCACGCTACCATGGAGTCCCTATGAGGCCTCCTCCAACCCCTAATAGCCTCACCCGGTCCTCCGGTCAAACAGTAAACACAAAACACAAAGCCCCTGGGCTATAACGTAAAACTAAACCGTCGGGTCAAAACAACATTCGATCTCTACCAGGAAAATACTCCAACCCATGGCAGCAACCAGGGGAAGCTCATGCAGTCAATACTCTCCCCTCTCTCAGCACTGGCCGAGCTCCCCCCTCCTTGGCTGCCAGAGGGGAACTGCCCTCCTGGCCTCCTGCCTTGGCTTAAGAAGGGCTAAGCCCTGCCCCTTCCTGTCAGCAGGTTTCACTGGTTGCCCCAGCAACCAGCACCTGTGTTGCCCTGGTGACTGGCAGCTGCGCCTCCCCCTTCTCACCGCTAGGGGTCTCTCTTAAGCCGTTTCTGTTTTCAGGCGCAGGGCACCTAAGTGCTCTGTGACAAGACAGTAACAGTTTAAACTGGGATTTTGCAAAGAACACCTGTACAGTTATTCCAGGATTGTATTGTTGAATCAATGGCAGAAAAGCAGCACTGCATTCAGCTGCTCACTAAATCCTGATTAGATGAGTGATATGTGTACACACCAATTATTTTAAAAGCCGTGGTTTGCCCTAGCCCCTGGCAGTCTGGGCTTGGGAGCAGCGTGGATGCACATGTGCATCCAGTGGCTCTTAAAAAATTGAAACAAGCAACTGTGAAAGCTTCAAAACTTCCCAGCTCCTAGGAATCAGTTAATCATATTTTCGCCAGTATGTAATACAGGCAGTCCTTGACTTACAAAGTTTCAAGTTACAAAGTTTTGCACTTACAACATTTATAAATTGATACCCTGTTTCGACTTTATGACATCAGTTTCGACTTAGAACACTTGATCCAATGCAATGCCACGCCAGTGAACAAGTTCGCTGCATCACTCATCTCCCTGGAGAACATCTATCCAAACTTCCTTGGACACTTTATTTAAGAAAGCAGACAAGACTCCAGAAAAACGGCAGCCAAGGTTCCCGAGATGACTCCAGCCAAGAACTCTTCAAAAAGTCCAGCAAAGTCACCTCAAAGAAGTCCTTTCAAATCAATATGATTGCTATTTACAATATAAATACATTAATGTAGCTATATTACTCATCTATAATTGATCGAGTACAAAATTCTGGGGTATTTTTGGTGAAAATAGGGTATTGGACCTTGGTTCAGGAACCATTTATAACATAGTCTCTTATGAGAAAATTGGTTCCAAGTTACAACGTTTTGACTTAAGACACAGTTTTCAGGAACCAATTGTGTCATAAATCTGAGGACTGCCTGTACAAGTATCTTCTTGTTATTCTTCTGTATATTTTAGGATACTCAGCCAAAAGTAAGGCTGCATTTAGAGATCAAGAAAATTTGGGATCTGTGAATCTTTGAAGTTTCCTTTCCCCTTCATATCAGTATTGCTCCCAGCTTCTTAAACCAGAGGCTCACTATATCCTTCCAGAGAGAGGTTTTAGCCCCATTAGTTTGAAGTCAGACAGAAAGCACATTATGGACTGCACACTGTAGATTAAGGAGTGCGGCTATAGCTGTGATGGTCCAGAAATTATGAGAGAGACAGGAATTGTTGTGGATGATATCTTTCATTGGACTAACTGCCAGGGCTGGATTGACCCTTTAGTGGGCCCTAGGCAAACAAACTATGCACCTAATTGCTTTCCGTAGGGCAGCAGCAGCAGCTGTTGGGGGCTTGGAGCTGCAGTGTGCAGTCCTAGAAGGGAAAAAGAGCTGGGCAGCACTGCAGCAGCACTGCCACGGCAAAATAAGCACAACTGACAACTGGGGCCCTTCTTCACTTAGGGCCCTAGGCATGTGCCTAGTTTTCCGATGTGTTAATCCATCCCTGCTAACTGCATGGTTGGGATAGACTTAGACAAACTTTCAAAAGCAATCCATTCTTCATCAGGTTTTTGCATTTGAAAGGTCATCTAAGTCTATTCCACCCATGCAGCTGGTCCAATAAAAATATAACCTGCAACAATTCTCACCTCTACCTTACCAGAGATGCTTAAGCTTTCATAAGAAACAGCTTACTTTGTCAGATGCTATGAGTCTATAAAGTTTAAGTCTACCCTGCCTTCTTTATATCCTTCTAGGAAGTATTACCACACATCAGTGATCGTCCAGAAATTCCATCAACATATTAATTATTAGCGGTGTACAGATAAAGATTTTTTGAGCCAATACCAGTGGCCAATTATTAAGAAGCAGATACCAATCCGACTGCTGATATGCAGCCCAGCAGCTTGGAGAGCAGCATCTGGCTGATAATTCTGTTGGGGGGGAAGGGGTGGAGAGAGGAAAGGGGCATGGGGGGTGCAGATCAAGGCCCCCACGGTGAGGGAGGGAGTAGGGCTGGGGCTGGGGCTGGGACAGGGGCAGGTGCTGTCCAGCCAGGGTGGAGCAGGGCATGGGGGTGCCTCCCCCAGGGGTGTGTGCAGTGGCAGGAGCTGCCCCCTTTCCCGCCCCCCCACAGCCTCCAGACAAGCCACTCACGGCTCCACCCTATGCCCCACACCATCTCAGCTGGGCAGCACCTGCTCCTGCCTCAGTCCCACTCTCCCTCCCACACCATGTGGGCCTTGATCTGCCCCTGTCCACGCCCCTTCCCCCCAACAGACTTACTGGCTGTATGCCGCTCTCCAAGCTGCCAGGCTGCATTCCTGGCCCCGTGCATGCTGTGGCTGCATGCATTCATGCAGCATTTATCGGTGGCATTATCAGCCACATCAGCCAAAAAAGCCAATTGCCAATAATGTCAATTTTCCTTTTATCGGTGCTGATACAATATGGACTAATGTACTGCTGCACCTCTATTAATTATACAACTGATGTTCTATACACTGAAGTCATGGGAGGAAGCAGAGCTTTGGGGAAGTGGTTCTAGGACTCAGCAAACATAGGGTACTGAGAATCATTGGTTTGAAAAGTAGGCAAGTTAAAAACTGTTGTACCTACAGGCCTAGATTTGGAAGTATATGACTGGGACAAAATCCATTTGACTAATTTCCATTTCAATATATCATCTTATACATATAAACACAGGAATATGTAAACACAACTATGGGAGCAAGGGTGGGATGGAATGACATGTGTGCTATTGTTGTTCTTAGTGTTGTGAACAGTGGTTATGATGTCATTCTTGCCTAGTCATTGTGCACAGAAGTGGGTTTGATCAACTACTGCATGTTATAACTAGGGAGAGGAATAGCTATCTATTGTAATTCATGCTGGTAGGTGGAAAGGAGGGGAATCAGTTAAGTTTTGTGTCATTCTGCAGGTGTTGAGATAATAAAATGGCCATGGATGCCTACTGACTCAGTAGAATGCTAGACAGCAGTAGCAGTTTGATAGATGCTGAACTTCAAATTATATGGGTTATATCACTTTGCCAAGATATTTTCTGTACAATTAGCACTTTGAACTTTTTTTAATGACATTATTGTAGTGTATCCAGTTATGGTACTCACATCTGTTGGAGTTCAGTCCTGAGAGAGGCACAGAGGAAACTCAGTAGGTAGCTTTTCAGTAAGGACAAGGAGAAAAACATTAAAAGTTAACACCAAGGAGAAAAAGTTGTGGGGGAGGGAATGGAGGGAAGAAATTACTGCACCAGAGTAGCCTTCCCCTTTAAGGACCAAAATGCTTGTGACCAGAGACTGCTGAGGCCAGAGAAAGTGATTATAAAGCCAGCAAGTGATTGAGGGCGAGATCTACAAAGGGATTTAACTACAGGAGGAATAATCCACAGCCCTGATCTATGTGCTTTGGTTCCTTCTAAAACACATGGGTCTGGGACACAAGTTTTATAAACTAGTTTGACCCAAATCAGTTAAGTCTGATGCTATATTCAAACTGATTTATCATACACCAGTTTCAGCCATTTTGAAACTGGTTTATGTGCACTGAGCTTCTGTTCTGTTACAGGTTTAAACCCGTTTCTGATCACTTAAACCAATTTATGTGTAACTTCTGCCCCTAGCCCTGGACAGTTAGCTACTCAGGGATGGAATCCACATGTTGAGCAGGGAGCTGCCTAAAATACCCAATAGGAAAAGCTGAGGATATGCAGGTGTCTAAAATCCTGCCTGGGATTTTGCCTACTTCCCCCTTCCATAAAGATGCATCACTCAAGATGCACAAACTTAAACCTTCAACTTAAGGTAGGTGCCCAAGCCCTTTCTTGAAGAAAAAGAGGAAGAAGAAGAAGTACGATTTGAAATGCCAATAGCTCGGTAGTTAGAGCATTAATTTAGAATGTAAAAGGAATCAGAACTCATGAGAGAGGTGATATCTTTTATTAGAACAACTAGTTGTTTGGAAAAAAAAGTCTTTATTTGCAAGTTTCAGGCACAGGCACTCTTCTTCAGGCATAAGAGAAAATATTGTAAAAGTTGTCCTAGGTAGAATGAAAGTTCATATTTCATAGGAGACTTGAAGGTGTGGTAAAATCTCCTGTTTGGAACAGTTCATTTTTTTAGTTTATTAGTTATTACGAATTGAGGATGTGAAACCCAACATCCGTTCCTTTTTTTCCCCCTCAGAGGACCAAACCCATATCTTCCACAAGACTGTCCTAACCAACAAATTAAGCACTGTTCTGGGGTGGAGGATAAAGGCACTATCAAGCTGTTCTGGTGTGCCTACTTAAAGAATCTCTGGGCCAGAAAGTATGCATGCCAAAACGAGACCACACCATAACAGTTAGGGCACTCACCTGGGAGTGGAGGACTTGGGTTCCAGTCCCTTCTCCTATAACTGTTTATGAATTTTATAGATTGGAGCCAGGAAACAGTACAAAATGTCTAGTACCTAGTGTCAGGGTTGACTGAAGTGTAGGCAGTCAGATCTAGTGATTCAAACAGGGCAAGAGTCACAGATTTATCAGAATGCAGAATGCAAGCATAAGACTTCTTTTTTATATATATTTTACTGAATTTTTATACTGGATCAGGTTTTTGATACCTAGCACAGCTGGTAAAATGACAGTGAGTATCTGATACTGCAGAGATCACTTGACAATGAATATCAGCCCAAATTAACCGAACAGATATTATGCAAATATTTAAGGGACACAAAAATAATGTTTGTCTGGATGACCTGAAAGTGTTCGTCTGATGTACCTGTTTACCAGTTTTTTGCTCTTGCTCATACCCTCATACTCTTTTTACTCTACTGTACTGGAGTCTTTGTAAGTCATTCAATGGTAGAAGTCCCAAAATATTTTGCACATTCTGGTCATAAGAAAATCCTTTCCACATCAGTCCTATTTCAAGACGTAGCTTTTCCTATGCTGCTTTGCATTCTGAAAAGCATGTTTGTTGCCATAGTTGTTTCCAGATACATGCTGCAGTCAAAATGATTCATGTCAGCACACACTGTACTCTCTTTTTAGAACAGCTGTGTTTCCCAAAAAGAGTAAATTTTAAGAAATGTCTGGGCAAAACATTAATGTTTAACAAAAAAGTGAAAGTTACTCTGCCTGTATTCTTTGGGCTGTACTGTGATCTTAGGCACAACCTTGAATGAGAGGTAGGACAAAAGCCATATCATCCTGGGTACAGCCCTAGGAGGTATGACTCAGGCACTTGATATTGTGTCAGTGCTTCTTGCTTCATCTTTGTTCCTAAGGGCACTGATTTATTAGTGGCCTACACACACTGTCTGGCCAGCGGGGATTAATTTACTATTTAAGCAAATGTATGGGTGGTAATAATAAAACTTCACCCTTTCCTCCCCTAACCCTGTTCACTTCTCACCTGTTCTAGGAAAGCCATATTAATCATCATGGACAAGGTCCCCACTGTGCCCGTGAATTAATTGTTTGTGGGCCTACTGCTACCCTGCAATAAGTGAAAATTGAACTGTGTTAATTTATCCCTATTTTACTGAGGACTACACTGTGCTGGTAAGAGCAGGCACACAAACAATTATTGTGAGTCAGTTGCTCCATGGTAGGCCCCTGCCCCCATTTAACTTTTGCAATTTGTTCATTTGTCCACAGCCCAAGGAAGCAGGAAATATTACTTGCTTCTATAAAAATATGTAATATTTCAGGTCTGTAACACACAATACAAGCCAACCCTTCTAACTGACTAATGCTATAGACAAGAGAGGGCATGTGAGGACATAAGTGCCTCTCGGGGAGGCACTCTAACTCATGGCACTTCACACACAGCTGGCAACTGTCAGCAGTGGCTAGGTGAGAGGAAGGAGGGAAAGATCCCCCTGCCATGCAGACCCCTCCAACTATCCCTCCTGGGGTCTTGTGGTGAGCCAGACTGAGCCAAAGAGGTGAGGGACTCTGTTCCCCAACCCCGCCCAAGCTCCAGGCATGGCAGCCATAAGGTTGCCGCTGTCAAGATGCTTGTGCGGGGAGCAGGAAGTGGGCGAAAGAAACCCCTGCTGCCATGCGTGTCCTCCTCAGCTACCCCTGCTGGGGTCTTGGGAGGAGCTGGGCTGGGCCCATGTGGTGGGAAGGGCTCCCTTTCCTCCCTCTCCCCCGCCCCCCACAAGCATCTTGACAGCAGCAGAGGCTGCTGCACCTGGAGCTGGAGGGAAGTGGGGGGGAGGAAAAATTAGGCCCCTCTGCCTCACAGGCCCAGCCCAGCTCCTCCCAAGACCCTAGCAGGGGTAGCCAGGCCAGATTTATGAGGCAAGGGAGGGTGTTTCACGCCTCTGCCCACCCCAGCTCCAGGCACAGCAACCACAAGGCTGCCGCTGTCAAGATGCTCGTGTGGGGGGTAGGCAAGGAAGGGACCCCCTCTGCTGTGCAGGCCCAGCCTGGCTCCCCCCAAAATCCCAGCAGGGGTAGCTGCAGTGGGGGGGTATGCATGACAGGGGGGCTTGCTTCCCCCCCGCAACTCCCTCCACCCACTATGCGAGCATCCTGACAGTGGCACAACAGGGGAGGCTCCCTTCCCCCATCCCCCCCCCGCATGAGCGCCTTGACAGCAGAGGCTGCAAAGCCTAGAGCTGGGGTGGGCCAGGGGGAAACAGAGGCCCCCCTGCCTTGCAGGCCCAGCCCAGCTCCACCCAGAACCCCAGCAGAGGTAGCTGGGAGGGGCACATGTGGCAAGGGGTGTCCCTTCCCTCATCTCTCTCCCTCCCTCACTGCACAAGGAGACAGAGGTTTTCTGTCTTCTCTCTATTACAGCCCCAGAGGCAGGGCTGGGCTGGTGTTCATTGTAACAGGCAACCCTAGCCCCGTTACTAGGAGTCAGGGCAGCCCCTTTAAAGCCAGAGTCTTTAGAAACACCAAGAACCAGGAAGGCAGGGGTTAAAAGCCCAGCCACACAGGCCGGTCAGCTGACCGGAAAGAGATAGGGCTCTGGGCACATATAAGCCCCAGGGCTGAGGTTGGCAGGAGTTAGTTCTCTGGCAAGCTGCCAGAGGAAGGAGCTCCTGCAGGGAAGAACTACCCAGGAACACTGTGGCTGCTGGACAGACTGTTTACATAGCTAATGAGGCTCCAGGAGTCTACAAGGTACCCAGGGATGGGAGGCACTCAATACTCAAGGAGCAGTTTGGGGTTTTAAAGAGGCAAAGTGTGGCTTGTATTACTCATATTATAATATAGCTCAGGGGCTCATATTTATCTTGTTGTTTTAACTGGTAAACTGGGCTGGGGCTACTAAGGACGAGGAGCCCTCATAGGGGGGCACACTACTGTGTAGAACCCCAACACTGCAAAAGGTGCAGAGACAGGGCTACAGCGAACCTGAGGCTGCTCAAGGCCAAATTAGAATTAAAAGTGCTAGTCTTTACATACCATCTGCAAGGCATGGGCTACCCTATAGGGAAGGTTTGGAGTAGATAGCAACCCCTGGTGTAGGGGTAGTAAATGGGCATCCTCCCACCTAACATCATAATTATTGTTCCATCAAGGCATGGCAGGCGAGAAAGGTGGGTGGTTAGCCCAGAAACAGATGGTTGGGCCAACATTGGACAGGCCTGGGGATGGCCCCCTGTCACACTCACAAAAGTTATTATTTCAGTGAGCACCCATCCAACCCACATAGCCACATGAGATGCAGGTAGAATTGCTCAAAATTAACCCTCACAGGAAACCTGAACACAGGTTCCCTAAGGCTCTCTGCCTTAGAGTGCCCCTGTCTAATACTTCATTGGACAAAGTTTAGATTTTCACATGCTCAGCCATTTTAGAAGTGGTCTGCAGCTGTGAATGTTATGTTATGGCTATTGTGTAGAGTGCTTTCAGGGGCCTCATCTTACAAAAAAAATGTAATTTCTGTGAACACCCTAAATTCATAGATGTTTTTGCCATCTGCCAACAAAAACATCAGAAAATGCAGAAATACTTACGTTCTCTGATAAATGGGCAAAGGCATTTGGCAGGGAAAGCTGGAAGACAGAAATAAACTGAAGTAATAAGAATGATCAAAACTGTCCTTGGAGATGGTCAGGTATTTCTCTAAAGCATGGAACCTACACAATTACTTACTGGCATAACAGCAATTTAATACAAGTCTTCACCCCAGTTATTAACAAGAAAAACAAAAAAGTCCAGCCCACACATTACTGACAGGTTTTAGCTAATACCTGTTTGACTTGGTTGCATATCATGCTATAAAATTTGCTTCAAACATTTGTTATTCCTTCTGTTTAAAGTGACACCTAGTGATAACTGTTTAACAGCCTGACCTCCCCCATGCTGGCTATCAGCAGCACATCATTTGTCTAAGCCAGTTGTTCTCAACCTTTTTAGACTTCAAGGCACCTCTAAGAAAATGCCAGCTCTTAGATTTCACTCTCATTTTGACTATGGAAAAATAATAAAGCAATTTTGCGGTTGCAAAGAACTGAATTGAATGTACTTTACATCATGCTCTGGGGCTAGTCTGCTTACCAGCTTCTGCAAAAGTTACATAATCCACTTGAATTTGCAACTTTTTTTCTCCAGTGCATAAGATCTTTATAAGTACCTTTGATACCCCATTGAAATGAGACACTTGCACTGAAATAATAACACTTGTGAATTTAATTACTTTGGCCCACTGTTTAGTGCAAGTCTGACTTAAATCACTTAACACTGATTTACACATGCACTTTAATGAACAGTAGAGTATTTTACTGTGTATTAAAGTGTCATATAAAAAACCATGACATTATGCTAATACTCAGTAAAATAGACTACTGTGCATTAAGCCTCACTAAAAAACATGCAAATGTGCTACTGATACTGTGCATTAGCACAGTCTAATGCACATTAATTTAGTACCTCACATTGGAGGTAGACATGTCCGCTGTTTTCAAAGCCTCCAGCTCATCAGCCATGCTTGTGACTATAACTTTACTTTTGTCTCTCATCTGCTTCACAACATGTATAATGGGTTGTTTATCTCATACATCATGATCAAGCAGACAACTGCAGAAGCATGTCTGATAGCACTTGTCAGTAATGGATGAGATTCAGCTTCATTTTAATATTAAATATATGGCATTTTTAATATTAAATATATGGTGCTATCAGTAATAAAGACAGTAACATTGTATTTCCACATTTTCATAATTTAAAAAAAATCTACAAGTTAGCTAACATTTTAATAACTAAATCCTATTGCAATTCTTCAATATTGTGATTTCTTTTAAGTATTTCCACATAATATATGTTTTAAATCTTTTCAGCAGTAACAAATTCATGTGAATAGTATCAAACTGTGTCAGCTTTTGAGATTAAAGTTCTCTAGCCACAGAACAAGCATAGTTCACCATTCCCTGACATTCCTCAAGGGCAGGACTGAGGTATGCAATGTACTTTCTAATGGAAGATTAAATATATTTTGCACTTTATTCTCTCTGATTTCTTACAGAGCAGCAATGTTAAGCAGCAGTTACATTGCTAAAAATCTCATTATCCTGAGAAACTGAGATGTATGTTGTAAACACTGCCTCATAGTTGCTGGGTTAGTGACAACAATCTGACAAAGAAGCAAAGAGCAAATGCCATTGGTAATGACAGCTACTGGCAGGTAATTCTATAGTTCTTTGGAAGATGGACTTGACAAATAGTATCAAACCACAGTCACTCTGTTGACCAAATTTGGTGAGGTGAGTTACACACTGCAAATAGAGCTGCAGCACCGCAAAACCAGTCTGTTTTCTTCTAGGCACCTCTCGCCAGGAAAGCCTGAAATGTCTACTTATACACCAATACCATACGATCCTAGCGCCATCTAGCAAGATCACAGTGTATACTGCTTCAAATTAAGGCTTTCCAAATACCTCTGGGGCAGACTCCTAACTAGCAAACTCCATGGAGTTTGCATCAGCTTATACCAGCTGAGGACCAGTTGCAAAATCTGTCTACTTCATTTCAGTATCTGAATGGGAGCTGAGATACTTTAAAAATCTGCACCCACATTCAGGGCTGACCTATCCTATTCTGCGGAACCTGCAGCCGCAGGGAGCACTGCAGCCAAGGGGCCCCCTGCATCTGTGAATGCTTCAAATCGGTGCCAATGAAAAGTGGAGGGTTGTTGCCACCACTCCATGTTGCCGCTACCACCATCAGCTTCTTCAGCCGCTCACCACCCCCGCCACAACACAGCCAACACCACCTGCTTCTTCACATCAGGGGGCCCCAAAACTATATCTTGCTGGGGGCCCCCAAAAGTTGTGGGCTGGCCCTGCCCACATTTATGTCCACATGTGAGCTCCTGAACGCTGAGTTCTATTGAAATTCTGATGCCAGAACTATACTGCACTATTATTCTTGTTAATCAAAGAAATCCAGGAACCTAGACCCTTTTTGTTCAAACTACATTGGCCTTACCTTTCAACACTGTGTTAGTTTATCAGGCTTGCTAATTGCTTTCTGTCATTCACAGTGTTCTACTACCAGTTTCCAGCTTCTTTAACACAACTGTGCTGTTGCTCTTAATAACAACTAATTATGAGGAGTAATCAAATCTTTAATCATTTCCAGACTTTGTAGCTGGAAAATTATTTGATACATGTTAATATTTTAAACAATCCTCCTTACCTCTTCTGA